ATCATTCTGTTATAAAGACACATGCACACGTATGTTTATTGCAGCACTGTTCACAATAGCAAAGACTTGGAACCAACCCAAATGCCCATCAATGATAGATTGGATAAAGAAAATGTGGCACATATACACCATGTAATACTATGCAGCCATAAAAAAGGATGAGTTCATGTCCTTTGTAGGGACATGGATGAAGCTGGAAACTACTATTCTCAGCAAACTAACACAGGAACAGAAAACCAAACACTGCATGTTCTCACTCATAAGTGGGAGTTGAACAATGAGAACATATGGACAGAGAAGGAAACATCACACACCAGGGCCTGTGAGGGTGGGGGACTAGGGAAGGGTAACATTAGGAGAAATACCTAATGTAGATGACAGGTTGATGGGTGCAGCAAACTACCATGGCACGTGTATGCCTATGTAACAAACCTGCATGTTCTACACATGTATCCCAGAACTTAAAGTATAATTTTTAAAAAGAGAAGAAAGAAAAGAAAAACCCGTTTTTTTGAGGAGAAATTCAAGCTAGCTGCAGAAATTTGCATATGTAACAAGGAGCAAAATGTTAATCCCCAAGACAATGGGGAAAATGTCTCCAGGACATGTCATAGGTCTTCATGGCAGCCCCTCCCATCACAGACCCAGAGGCCTAGGAGGAAAAAATGGTTTCCCCAGCGTCCCCATGCTGTGTGCAGCCTAGGGACTTGGTGCCCTGCATCCCAGCTGCTCCAGCCATTGCTAAAAGGGGGCAAGGTACAGCTTGGCCCATGATTTCAGAGGGTGCAAGCCCCATATCTTGGCAACTTCCACGTGGTGTGGAGCCTGCGGCTGCACAAAATTCAAAAACTGAGGTTTGAGAACCTCTGCCTAGACTTCAGAAGATGTATGGAAACACCTGGATGCCCAGGCAAAAGTCTGCTACAGGGGTGGGGCCCTCATGGAGAACTTCTGCTAGGGCAGTTCAGAAGGGAAATGTGGGGTCAGTGCCCCCACACAGAGTCCCTACTGAGGCACTGCCTAGTGGAGCTGTGAGAAGAGGGCCACCATCCTCCAGACCCCAGAATGGTAGATCCATCAATAGCTTGCACTGTGCACCTCAAAAAGCCACAGATACTCAATGCCAACCTGTGAAGGCAGCCGGGAAGTGGGCTGTACCCTGCAAAACCATGGGGCAGAGATGCCAAAGACTATGAGAACCTGCCTCTTGCATCAGTGTAACCTGGATGTGAGACATGGAGTCAAAGGAGATCATTTTGGAGCTTTAAAATTTGACTGCCCCACTGGATTTCAGACTTGCATGGGCCCTGTAACTCCTTTGTTTTTGGCCAATTTCTCCCATTTGGAATGGCTGTATTTACCCAATGCCTGTACCCCCACTGTATCTAGAAAGTCACTAGCTTGTTTTTGATTTTACAGGCTCATAGGCAGAAGGGACTTGCCTTGTCTCAGATGAGACTTTGGACTGTGGACTTTTGGGTTAATGGTGAAATGAGTTAAGACTTTGGGGGACTGTTGGGAAGGCATGATTGGTTTTGAAATGTGAGGACATGAGATATGGAGGGGCAAGAGGTGGAATGATAGGGTTTGGCTGTGTCCCAATCCAAATCTCATCTTGAACTGTACTCCCATAATTCCCATGTGTTGTGGGAGGGACCTGGTGGGAGATAATTTGAATCACGGGGCCATTTCCCCCATACTGTTCTCGTGATAGTGAATAAGTCTCACAGGATCCTGATGGGTTTATCACGGGTTTCTGCTTTTGCTTGTTCCTCATTTTCTCTTGCCACCACCATGTAAGAAGTACCTTTCACCTCCTGCCATGATTCTAAGGCCTCCCCAGTCATGTGGAACTGTAGGTTCAATTAAACCTCTTTTTCTTCCCAGTTTCAAGCATGTCCTTATCAGCAGCATGAAAACGGACTAATACAGTTATCATGAGGTTCAAATTATTTACTACTAGAAAAGATGTTTGCATGCTATGCATTGCCATGGAAATATAAGTGACCCAGTGCCAAGGTGGCCACTCTCATGGAGTCCCGAGAATGACCAACTGAGGGGGAGCCCAAAGGAGTGTTTTGCTAACTCTCCCCACCTCCCACACACAGGGCTGGCAGGTTCTTCCCAAAGCTCCTGACCTTCTCCAGGTTCTCGCGCATATCTTCCAGGGCCTTGATGCCTGGTGGGTCTTTGGCCACCTCCTGCGCACTGGCCAGCTCATGGCGCCAATGCTGCTGGGCAGCTTTCAGAGCTGTCTGCCGCCTCCGCATGGAGTGTGTCTGCCGCACAAGGAACTCCTTAGCACTACGGAGGGCTACCCCCTCAGTAGAGAGGAGGTGCCAGACATTGTGGGAGGACAGGCTGGAGCAGGAGAGTTGAAAAAGGAAAACAGAAGCCTCTGAGAACTCTGCTCTGGGTCACACAGCCACTTCCCCAGCAGATGCCCACCCTGAGCACAGACCAGAGCTGCTGGGCTGGGGCTGGGCACTGTGAGTGTAGGGATGCCGCTGTTCAATACCCACAGTGTGCAGTGCCTGGGACTGACAGTGCCCCCACCCTGACTCTGAGAGGGATCGTGCCCGGGGCCTCCAGATAGATGACCAGACACTTCCAGCAATCTGTTTCTCCACTAGAAAAGAATGCCATGTCAAAGATCACAGTGGGCAGTTTCTTGGCTTGCCAGAGAAGATTGCTTAATCCTCCAGAACCTTCCCCACGAACTAAGCCCCACTGGTGATCACTGTCTCCTCACTTCAGCTCACCCAGCTCTACGATGCAGGTACTCACTTACCCCTTCATGGTACCCTAACCTGAAATAAGACAGGCTATGGGAACTCACCTGTTCAAGTATAAGTCCTCCTTGCTCTGGGAGAGAGAAGAAGACACCTCTTTGGTCTGGTTCTAGGGACACATGGTAGAAAAGTCCACTGAGTGTAGCAAAAGCAGATACCCTGCAGGTTCAAGACCCCAAAGCTCCTCCCAGTGGTCTAGACAAGGAGATGGCTCTCCAGCTGCCAGGCACTGTTTACTTATAGATATCATCTGACTGGTGGAGACAACTGGTAGCTGGGAATAAGAACAGACCAGGTCCCATAGAGAGCAGAACCACCCCCTCCTGATACCTCAGCCCACCACATACTCCTCCCCTCCTGAGGTTCCACTCCTCCGGATAACCCATCCCCTCTGGAATTACTCCCCTGATGCCTAGCCCCTCCCAATGCCCCACCCCATCCTGGTACCCCCGCCCCCAGCTCACTGTCCCAAGGGATTTCCTCAGGTCCTCAATGTGGAGATCCGGCTCAAAATGTGGGGAAACATTATTTTCCTCAACTGTCACTTCTCTCAACAGGTGCTGCTTCTTTTGAGCTTCAGCCTCCAGGCTGCTGAGCAGGGAGAGGGGAGTGAGAGGCAGGGCGGTGGCAGAGGTGGGGGGTGAAGTGGGTCAGAACCATCTCCACCCCCTCACTCCCACCCATCAAAGTCCCTGAGGAACAATAGCACCAGAGATCCACTGCTTTTCACACCATCTTAACAACCCCAACTCCCTACAAAATGTAGCCACAGGCTCTTCTGCCTAGCTCTCAAGCTGGGACTCCACCTCTCCCTATTAATTGGGCCATGATGCAAGCAGCAGAGGTCAGAGGGCAGAGGGCAGGCAGGAGGCAGTCAGCGGGGCTAAGTGCAGGGTGCCCATGCCACCTGATGTGTTTCTGCAGTTGCTGGCTCTGGGCCTGTAGCAGATCCACTTCGGACTCCAGCTTCAGCTTGCGGGCCTGCAGCTCATCAAGAATTTTCCGGAGCTGCTGGTTTGACTGCAACAGGTGGGTGTGCTCCTTCTGTGCCTCCTCCAGCTGCTGATGGGTGGCTGTGGCTTCCTAGGGGCAGAAGGAAATATAGAAGCACCCAGAGACAGCACAGGGAGACAGCAGGGAGCAGACAGCACTAGAGGGTAGGGAAGCCAGAGGAGGATGGGCTGGGGATGAACTCAAAGCCACTGAAGTCACCACCTCCGAGGTCAGGAGGTCTGCAGGCTCCTGTCCCACCACAGCCCCACTCCCTTGAGGTTCCCAAGTGGGGTCCACAGAGTGGCACTATTTGTGGAATACTGGCCAAGAGAGTTTGGAACCCCAGTGCCCTGGACAGATGAGATGAGCAAAATGTGGGGAACAGGGAGAAGAAAGACAGGGGATGGAGGAAAAACAGGAAGGAGGACAAAAGAGGGAGACAAACCTCACTCTTCAGAGCAACCTGCCTCTGCACATCAAGCAGCTGCTGCTTCTCCCTCCGGGCAGTCTCCTCCTTGCAGAGAAGAGATAGGATTTTCTGGTTGACTGCAGAGCCCAGGTCTGAGGGGCTGGGCCTGCCCTCTGCTAGAGGAGCTATGACTCTGAGGTCAAGGACTCCTGCAGATCCCTCACCTGGACCTCCAGCAGAGCCAATCTGGCCTTGACATCTTTAGCTCTGGTTTCAAGGTCCAACTCTAAATCTTGGAGCTTCCTTTCCTGCCCAGAAAGAGAAAGACATAAGCACAGAAAGAGTGTAAGGCATTAGCTGAGGGGCAGGAGGGGGTTCCAGAACCCACCATGCCACTCCGCAACCTCCACCCTGGGCTCAGGCTTCCTCGCTGTGTGCCCCTGCAGCCTCCCAGGAAGGCTCCGCACCTTGTTTACTTCCTGCTGGAGCAAGGAGACGCGAAGGTGCCAACCCCAATGCCTTACAGGGGCTGGCCTCTAGTTCTAATCCTGGGTGTGTTCCCTGGCCCAGAAAACAAAGCAGCAAGGATGCCCCAGCTTGGAGATGGCCAGTGAGAGACTCGCACTCCAGAAGCTGTCAGGCTCCATCCTGCTGGGGCCACGCGTTTGCTCCCAGCACCTTCTTACTGTGCATGGAGGGGTCACAGTGGGCTCACCCTGCCCCAGGCCCCTCACCTGCTCCCTGTGCCGGCGCCGCAAGTCCTCAAGACGCTTGTGTTGCTCCTGCCTCACAGTTTCCAATTCTCGCTCATGGGCCCTCTGTAGGCGCTCCAGCTCTCCGGTCAGGTGCCCCAGAAGTTCAGCCCGCTGCTTCCTCTCCTGCAAGGAGGATGGGCCCACTGGTGGGAAGCTGCGGCGGCCCCTTCCACCACAAAAATCACAGCTCCCGCAGCCCTGCAGCCTTGCGTCAATAAGATCAGGGACACCGTGGGTTCCCTAAAGCCAGCTCTTGGAGAAGAGGAGGGTTACAAGCACAGCACCGGCCCTGACCCCAGCAAGCCTGCGGCCCTCTACGGCTGAAGCAGAGGCTGGCCGGATACCATGACAGAATCCCCCTCTGGCTCTCCTATGGCTCCACCGTATACAACTTTTCCTCCTTAAGGAATGAGAGGTCACTGAAAAAGTATCACTATTCTTCAGCATGGTCATAATTGGTTGGGGGAAGGGATGCAGCAAATTTCGTCATGGGACTGCTATTTCTGCCCTGGAAAAGATCCTAGAAAGAGTCTGGGATACTGGTTCCAGTTACTGGAGCAGTAGTCTTAACGCCCTGCAGGGGCCCAGCTGTGGGCCATAGTCAGCCACCCTCTACCCGCTCAATGTTCACCCTCAATGTGAGCAAGCCAGGCCAGCTTGGGTACACTCAAATCGCTGAACTTTCCTACCTTAAGCTCAAAGACTTAAAATGGGGAGAATATCAGTATTACTTGGTTCTTGCCAGTCTGTTTCTTGGTGTCCTGAGATGTTGAGGAACCCTGGTGACGTGGTGTTGCAGTGAGGAAACTGAAGGCTTTGGAGTCGGACACCCTGGGCTTGAATCTTAGCCCTTCCACTTATTAGCTGAGTGTGATCTTGGCAAGCTACTTAAACTCTCCAAGTCTCAGTGTCCTCATCTTTAAAATGGAGATAATGACACTAGATCTTTCCTAAGGCTGGTGTGAGGACTAAATGAGTTAAAATAGATAAAGAGCTCAGAACAGTTCTCGGCACACAGTACAAGCTCAATGTATGGGGGGTCCTTTTACCATCAGAAGAAAGTGCAGCCTGCCTGATAAAAAAGGAATTGCCCCTCATTAGGTGGAGGTCTTTTTCATGCTTTAATAAAAAAGGCAAAAAACATCATCGTGGCAGGGTACTAGGAAGGAAAACCTCCCACAATCCCTGACCACAGTTTATCCGCTTCCTCTGCCCCACAGTCAGGTGGGAAGGACCCCGGGGTGTGCGTGCATGTGCATGTGTGCGTGTGCGTATGTGTGTGCATGTGTGCGCGCATGTGTGTGTGTGTGTGCACGTGTGTGCATGCGCTCAGGGGATGTGGCCGAGCTACCTCAGCTTCATACTGCTCTCTGGCCTTAGCCATCACTTGCTGGTGCTCCTCCTTCATCTTGTCCAACCTCCTCTCATGCTCTCCTTCCACTTCCTGGCGCTTCTCTCGCAGGAGACTGCTGAGCTGCAGGGGAGACGGCAGGCATGTGGCATGCAGAACCGAGGTGGACCAGCACTCAGGGCCTGCTGCACCTGAAGGTCTTACACACATTTCCCCAATCTCCCCCCACACACACAAAACATGGACATCACACAGCCATGACACCACGGTCAGCACACAGCCATACCCCAACACACCCTCTCCACATGCATACAGGGGCATCAGATTGGAGGAGTACCTGGTTTCAAGGGAACTAATGCATAAAAATGGAATCAGAAGTGCTAACCCCAGCTGAGCCATCCAAAGCAAACTGGAGGCCACTGAGGCTAGGACGGCTCAGCTGACTGTAAGAGAGTCCACGACAGGTGCACATAACTGTGGAAGATGCAGAGCAGCACTCACCTCTTGCTCATACTCAGCCATGTGATAAGCCTTCTGGTGAACTCTGTGCTCCACCTGCCCAAGGCACTTCTGCAGCTGGGCCTCCTCTTTCTGTTGAGCTTCCTCTATCTTCTTCTGGAGGCTGGAGACCACCTGAGGAGGCCCCCGCACACACAGGGAAGTGTGTCCCTCAGGGATACTGTACAGCTGCTGTGTGGGGATGTGTTCTGAGGACCTGGCATCCATCCCCAGGGGCTGGAGGGAGAGGCTCACTGCCTAGTAGCCAGGGATGGGGCTGAATTCTGTTAATCAGCCATGAAGGGGGCCCAGAATACTGCGTCTCACCTCCTGGTGCTTGGCCTCCAAAGAGGAGCAGAGCCGCTCTAGCTCAGCACCGTGCTCCTTCTCCAGCCTTGCCACCGCCTGGGAAGGAGCAAAGGGACTGTGAGGGAAGCTGGCCAGGCACTGACCATGGTGGGAGGCAGAGCCAGGAAGACTACCAACCCCCAACCCTTTGAGATCAGGGTCAAGGGAAGCACGGGGAAGCACAGCACATCTTTGTTCCTCTGAAATAACTCAGCCCCTGAAGTCTACAACTGGCAAATGAACAGGAACACGAAGGCCAGAAGAGAGGGGCATTTCGGTAAGTTTCGGCTCTCTGCTCCCACCCCCTGCCTTTAGACTAGGCCACAGGTCCACAGACGGTGCTCATGCTGGTAAATAAGATCCAAGCCAGGGGGGCCAGGTTGGATGGTGTCATTAAGTCAGGCCATGTAGAACCTTATTTTTATTTTGGTGAGGTGCAAAGCTGCAGCTTTTAGACATGGAAAACACTACAGCAAGACAAGGGAACTCCAGTGCACTGCAAGTGCTCAGAGAGACTGTGCTAAAACCTTCAGAAACCAGCCATCTGACTGGAGTACAGGGAGTATGGACAAAGAGAAAATCCCTGCTATGTTGCTAGCCTCTCATCCTAAGAAAGGAGGGAAAAGTGGGGAGTGAGGCCCTTGCAGCTGTCCCTCAGAGACAGTGAGGGACAGAGCGCCCTTGTCTCAAAACCTCTGGTCTGGCTAAATCTCTTTCAGTCACCAATTTTCTCAAATCCACAGGACACTCCCCTTCAAGCCTCTGATGGTTCTCTGCTTGAGAACCTCCAGCCACCACTGCCAACCAGCCTGACCCTGGAGGGGCCTCGGGATGCCTGCTGCATCCTCTGCCCTGCCATGGACAGCAGAGCAAGCTCCTGCCCTGAGCTAATTTGGTCCATATGGAGTAATGGGCCCAGGCAGTCACCTCGCCATCTCCCATGCCAGTCTATGTGTGAGACCTACTCTCCACCTGGCTCCCCAGCCTGCACGCCCACCCGAGGCTTGCCCTTCCTCTCCCTGTGTTCTCGGTCCCCTCCCAGGCAGCCCAGACACATATCAGAGGGTGAGGTCCCCACTTGACTGACTCACTTCTTTCCTCTCCCCTTCCAGCTGCTCCCTCAGCTGCTGCAGAGCCTTCTCCTTAGCAGCGTTCAGGGCAGCCTGTTCGCTCTTCTCCGAAGCCTCCATCTCTTCCTTGAGCTGCTCCAGCGTTTGCCTATTTTTCTGTTCCAAGCTGGCCCTTTCAGCCTTCTGTTGAGACTCCAACTCTTCTCTCAGTTTCTGCAGGGAAGCCTCTTGCTCAGCCCTGGATGGACAGAGTAGGTTGGGAACGGCCCTGTGTACCCTGGGGTCACCTCCGCGAAGCTGGGCAGCTCACAGGTAAGCACGCACTTACCTGATTTGGTCCTCATCTGCTTGTGTGCTGGACTGGATCTGGGCTCGGAGCCAGGATAGCCTCTGGCTTTCCTCCTCTCTCATCCGGGCCTCCTCCTCCTCACTGGCTTTCTGCAGTCGCTCCCTCAAGGAACTGAGATGGAAAGGAAAGGCGAGGTTGTCAGAGAAACCACAAAGGTCTTTATTCTATTCACAGGCTGTGGTTGTCAGTCTCCAACAGCCCTGTTGCCTGCCTAAGAAACTTCCTAAATCTTTTTTTATTTTTTTTCCTGTTTGGAGACAGGTTCTTGCTCTGTTGTCCAGGCTGGAATGCAAGTGGTGTGATCACGGCTTACTGCAGCCTTAAACTCCTGGGCTTAAGCAACCCTCTCGCCTCAGCATCCCATGTAGTTGGGACCACAGGCATACACCATCAAACCCAGCTAATTGTTGAGATGGAGTCTCGCTATGTTGTCCAGGCTGGTCTCGAACTCCTGGGCTCAAGTGATCCTTTGGCCTCAGCCTCCCAAAGCACTCAGATTATAGGCGTAAGCCACTGCGCCCAGTCAAAGTTTCCTAAAGATGAGTCTAACCTCAGTCTCTGGGTCTACAGCTGCCTCCCATAATACCTTCCAGGATAACGAGGGAACCATGAACTCCCCTTTGCTTCAAGAAGCAAACTACTGGCCAGGCATGGTGGCTCACGCCTATAATCCCAGCACTTTGGGAGGCCGAGGCAGGTGGATCACTTGAGGTCAGGAGTTTGAGACCAGCCTGGCCATAATGGTGAAACCCCATCTCTACTAAAAATACAAAAATTAGCCGGGCATGGTGGCACACTCCTGTAGTCCCAGCTACTTGGGAGCTGAGACAGGAGAACTGCTGGAACCTGGGATGCAGAGGTTGCAGTGAGCTGAGATAGCACCACAGCACTCCAACCTGGGCAACAGAGCAAGACTCAATCTCCAAAAAAAAAAAAAAAAAAAAAAGCAAACTACTGGCTTCTGGGTTTCAGTAATACAGCACTTCTTCCAAAGGCTCCCCTCTTGTCAACAGCTTCACCTCAGCATGGCACTCACTCAAAGATAGCGATAGCCACCCAACCTGATTCCACATTCTTCCACTCCGACAGACTCTGTTCTAGGCACATCAGCTGAGTCACCGTCCCTCCATTCTACCACACTCTTCCTTCCCAGATCCTCTGCCAAGAATTCCCTTTTCTATCTAGCAAACCCATATTCATTGCTCAACACCCTGTTCCCTCTCTGGGAAGTCTTTCCAACTCCCTCCAAGCTTATCAATTCATCTTTCTGTTCCCATCACTTTACATGTGGACCTTTCTTATCCCATGCTACTCTGCACCATGCGTCACATGGCATCATAATTCATCTTCTGTATCTCTGTTTTCCTTGCCAGTCTGGGAGCTTCTCAAGAGAAAGAATCGTGTCTTAAAATCTGTTATATCCCAGGTACCACACATAGTAGCTGACATAAAGTAGGTGCTTAATAAATTAACTGAATTTGAACAGCATCATACAGCCCCAAACTATAAGCAAGTTGTGATAGCTACGAAAGGTTATCTTATTTACACACCAACAACAGTGGCCATTTCATCCTAAGCAGACATCCCCCTGCTTACACAAACCACATCCTTTTCAAGTAACTCCTCACACAGCCCCGCACGACCTGGGGATGTGTGCTGGGCACTCAGGGAATTCAAGCCTAGGAAAAACATGATTCGGAAGACAATTCCTTTGAAAAGCTTCTGTAACAAATCCTAAAGCCAAGAAAAGACTTAGGATTCTTTCCTATTTCAAGATACGAACACCATTACTTTCTTCCATTAAGAGAGAAAATTTGGCCGGGCATGGTGGCTTACGCCTGTAATCCCAGCACTTTGGGAGGCCGAGGCGGGCGGATTATCAGGTCAGGAGATCAAGACCATCCTGGCTAACCCAGTGAAATCCCGTCTCTACTAAAAATACAAAAAAAAAAAAAAAAAAAATTAGCCAGGCATGGTTGCAGGCACCTGTAGTCCCAGCTACTCGGGAGGCTGAGGCAGGAGAATGGTGTGACCCGGGAGGCACAGCTTGCAGTGAGCCCAGTGAGCCACACAATCCAGCCTGGGCGACAGAGCAAGACTCTGTCTCAAAAAAAAAAAAAAGAGACAGAGAAAAATTGAAATAAGTAAAAATCCTTCCTTCTAGATTCCCCAGAAACCCTTTCTCTTTGTCCTATGGCTAAATTTTACACACAGCAACAGTGTTAGAGCTGGCAGGGACTTTAGAAGTTTTAAGTCCAATCCCTTCATTTTACAGTGAAAGAAACTAAGGGCCAATCCGCCTGCCTTCTCATTCCAGAAATATTTGTTATAAGATCAGCTGTGGCTTCCAGAAATTTCTACCACATGGAAGTTCCCAGCAGAGGGAAGAAGAGCCCATTTCTCAGAAAGGCTTGGGCATAAACAGAAACAGGTTCTGGTAATGAACTATTTTGAAGAAAGTCAGGCAAGGCACTGTCCACAGAGAAGTCACTTAGTCAAGAATGCCTGAACATGCATTGATTTCAACTGAAAATAAAAGTAATTGCTACTATTTGTTCAGCAACTACTATGTTCCAGGCCATGAATCAAGACACTTTTGGCATTCCAGTCTTCCCCACAACCTAAGAGGGCCTCTGGAGTCAGGGGCCTTGGGAGAGGGATGGAAAGTACAGTCAGCCAAGCTCAGGGTGGCCAGCAAGAGGGGAGGAGACTGGGGGGCTGACAGGGACACACCGCCAGGATTTCCTCCAAGGCACTAATACTGCACCTTAAGGTGAGTCACACTCTGCTTGGGTGGACCCCTGCCCCAATTCTCAGTTGGCTGGAAGAGGAGGATGCTAGGGGGTTGGAGGTGTCTGTTCTTTGGGATGCTCCCTGGTGGAGGATCCACAAGGATGCAATATAAGGACAGATCCTGGGTCAGTGCTTCCTGCATTGGGCTCGTGAGAGATTGTTCCGACCTTCCCAGTACTTGTATGTTGGTTTTCTGTTTTATTTTCTCTAAATTAAGCACAAATGTTTTATATATACTTTGCTAGGTATCATCTAAAAATAATAATTTTCTACCACTCTTAGATGTTCTGTACAAGAGGACAAGACTCAGCCTTTAGTTAAATTGCCAAGTAAATGAAATGTTAACACCTTTTCGTAGTACCTTTCCCATCCTGGGACGGTGACAGATGGCTCATTAACAGCTCAATATCCATTCTCCCTTTCTTCCTTACCAACAGAACCGTGCTTTTATTCTACTGGGTAAAGAGGTCAGCTAAAGGACTACATTTCCCAGTGTTCTCTGCAACTAGGTGTAACCAATGAGATGTAAGCAGAAATTGTTGGGTAAAGTTTCCCAACTTTAGTTGGTCTTGGTAGAACCATGGGCATCCCAGTGGTCCCCAGGCTGAGAGGGTGTCCCTGGCTCCTCACATCCCCTGAAAGGCCCTGGGAAGCATGCCCAAGGGAAAGGGCAGGACCTGAGAGATTGCTCTTTCTGCTGGTGAAGCCGGAGAATCTCCTCTTCCTCCTCTTGGCACAGCTTCTCTCGCAGTTGCTGCATCTTCTCTTGCTTCGATTCCAGCAGGTGCCTCTGGTCTTGCTCGCGTACTTGGGCCACTGCCTCTTCCATGGCCTTTAGTGCAGCCTCTGAGAGCTGCTTTGGGGGAGCCACAGGCTCTGTGAATCGCCTGCCATGGGTGGGGAATGGCATAACATCACAGGGTTAATGTCCACCCACCTCTGTATCCAGGTTAGAATGGATACAGAACATCACAAATGGAATCCTAATGGAGGGCCCACAATCAGGAGTCAAACAGCTCACCCAAGGGCAGGCAAGAGATATGGTCAATGCTTGTTCTATAGGACAAGCCCCACTGTGGCTGTTTAAGGCCCCAGGAGCCAAGGGAGAAGGGCAGCCCACAGCAGGCTCTCAGCTGACTTACGAGGTTGTGGCTCAAGGTCAAAATCTGAAGCTGCAGCTCAAGAGCTGGCAGCAGCAGGGACAGAGTGAAGCTCTGTCCCTACTGGATTCCTTCCTAGAATGGCTCATAGCCCCATTACCACCTCCCCACTAGAGCTCTGCCTGCTACTTAAGGCTCATGCCAGCAATTTGGGAACAGTCCCCAGAGACTGCTTTCTGCCTCCCAAACTGAGTAGTGGCCAATGTATATGGGCCCATGAAAGAAGCAGCAGCAGGTCTCCTAGCTCTGAGAACTACAACAGTCCAGGAAAGCCCAGGAATAGGAAGCTCCCTTATCACAACACCATGGGGGCCAGGAGGAGATGCTCCCCTAAGCCAAAACACGTAGCAAGTGTGCACATGAGTGCCATGTTCCCCGTCTACCCGTGGGGGCACGTTTTCGTCTGCTTAGAGTTAATTAAATGTTTAGAAATGAGTAAAAGGAATTCAGAGCTGACCTGGATGCATAAGAGGGTGGTGAGATCAGGAATAATGGTATCCATTAAAAAGATGTGTGTAAAGTAATAAGGACTGTTATTTTGCTTGTTTTCTGGTTCTTCAAGGAAATGCCCAAAGAGGAATCCTGAGAACATTCTGAGCAGGATAAAGCATGAGCAGGATAAAGCATGAGGAAAGCATGAGCAGGATAAAGCATGAGGAAAGCATGAGGAAAGCATGAGCAGCATAAAGCATGAGGAAAGCATGAGCAGGATAAAGCATGAGGAAAGCATGAGCAGGATAAAGCATGAGGAAAGCATGAGCAGGATAAAGCATTTTGCCTTCCAGAGTGACTTTCCTAAAGGCCAGAATGTGCCTGCACATCCAGGTCCCTCAATCTCACAGTGGAAACTGGTCTCACCACACACCCTCCTCGCACAGCACTCAGGCTGCTGCAGGCCTGGCACGGTGGCTCAGTCAACCTAACCAGAAAGTGTGGGCATGACCCAAAACAAAGAGGGCTGGGCAAGAGTCAAACAGGGGAGCTGGTCTTCCCTGCTGGGGACTCAGAACCCCTTCTCCCTCCAGCTCGAGCCCCACTGCAGATGGAAAGCAGCGGGCAGGATCAGATTAGAACAGTAGAGGAAAACAAGGGCTTAGGAATCCCACTGCAGCACCTTGAGACTAGAGAGAGAGGAAGACAGGACAGGCTACTGTCATCTCTGAAATACCATAAAGACCTTTCATTTCCCCTTTCCTAAAATCATAACTTGGACCAGAAATGATCTTGAGCTATGCCTTCAATTCTTTTCTGCTCCCAACTCCATCTCCTCCTTCCTTCCAAAGCCTGGCTTCCTCTGAGTCCCCTGACACAGCCCAACTGATGCAGATGTAAGACATGTGGCTGCCACCTCCTCTGAGAATCCTGCCCTCAGAAAGAGCCTTCCCCCACAGCTCTCCGCCTCATCAACCCTCCAACTCATTTCCAACCTTGGCTGAAAACATCTTTTTTCCCTGAGATGGTACCTTTTAATGTCTCTCTCTCCTGCAGGCTGCAAGCTATGTGGAGCCCTAGGGACAGATGCTCTGGAAAGATGGGGCATCACACCACGTGGGGCATGTGCCCAGGCTATGAGCACCAGTGAGCTTGCACAGAGGCAAGCTGGGCCGTCTGTCAGTGGACCTCTTCTCCCTCGCCTTGTTTTAAAGATCTAGTAGCTCAAACTGCTAGCTCAGGTCCAAGGCAGTAAACAATGCCTGAAAGATCCATGACATGATCGGGAAGTTGAGGACTCCAGGGGAAGAAACAGCTCGGATTTCTAGGCCAACTCCTCAGGTATCAGAATCAGTGGGACCCAGTTTCCTACAGTGAGTGACAAAGGGGAGGCTCTGCAGGAGCATAATCATTTCAGGCTGACCAGCAAGTAGCTCAAAGACACGTGTGAGAAATCCAGAAGGGAAAGCAGGGAGAGACAGGGAAGGAGAGCAGAGGGCAGGGAACTGGCACCTAGGAACACTGCGAAACGGTTTTCATGGTACTACCACAAAAGTTATGTCTCCTCTCATACTCAACTTCGTGGTTTTGATTCTTTTACCCTCTTCTCTGCACATCCTCACGAAAGATGCTGGCATGACAAGGGGAGAATCTTCCCGTTTCCTAGTCCTGGCCTTGGCCAGAAAGCATTCAGTGAGTGGCATGTGCTGCCTTCTGGCCTACCTGCTCCCTCTAGCCTGCCCTCTGCTCCTAACCCTTCAGACCCAGCTTGCCTACACCTCTGGAAGCTGACAGACACAGAACTACTCCCACAAAACCTAGACAACCCATTTGTTCCTAATGCAGCTGTAAAGATTAATAACAAGGAAGTGATGGGGCCTGAAGAGACTCAGGAAAGAACAGACGGCATTTCCTAAGGGGATGGTGTAAACTGAAACCACGTTGTCAACTATCTCTGAGACCCTAGCAGGGGCAGCCTTGCTGGGGTGGCAGGAGAAACACAAGGGAAGGGAATGAATCAGCCAAAGCAGCTGGGGAGGAGCCAGGGAAGCCAAGGCCCCAACTGAGCCCTGCTGCCCAGGCTTCACTCTAGAGATCCTGGGAAGACACCCCTCTGACGTCGGCCCAATCTTCCTCTCTCTGAACTACACCCACCTCCTGTCCTCATAGAAAGTATCCTGAACTGGCTGACCACAGCCACCACGGTGACAGGAAGGCTGTATAATTCCTAATTCCTCAAGGTCACAGTTTTCATTGTAGGATGTATCACCACTGGAAAGACGTGACCACCCCTTCCCTACACCACTCCTACGACACAAGATCCTGAGCTCATGTGCCCTGCCAGCTCTCAGTGAGTAATGTGTGCATGAACTTGCTGTGAGTAACGTGTGCGTAAACCTGTCTCTGCTCACGAGTCAGTCCCAAATCCTTTAGACCTGCTTAGTTCACAGAAGGGAAAATGTTTAAGTCCTGACCCTTGTCTTTCTCCATGCAGAGAAAAGGAACAGTGGCTGCAGGCTAAGTCAGAAGTCTAGGGCTCTAGTGACTAGAATCTAGTGTTTTTATTTGAGACAGAGTTTCGCTCTTGTTGCCCAGGCTGGAGTGCAGTGGCACGATCTCGGCTCACTGCAACCTCCGCCTCTCAGGTTCAAGCCATTCTCCTGCCTCAGTATTCCAAGTAGCTGGGATTATAGGCGCCCGCCATATTTTTGTATTTTTAGTAGAGACAGGGTATCGCCATGTTGGCCAGGCTGGTCTCAAACTCCTGACCTCAGGTGATCCACCTGCCTTGGCCTCCCAAAGTGCTGGGATTACAGGCGTGAGCCACCATGCCCTGCCTAGAATCTAGTTCTAATTCTGCCGCTGACTAGCGATGTGACCTTAGATGAATCCCTTCACTTCTCTGAGCCTCAGTTTCCTCATCTGAAAAATGGGTAGGAAGGGGAAGGGTGGCAATGGAAGGAGAAAAGCTAAATGATTTCTAAATTTTAGAAGTACTTGGTTCAACATAGGTGAATCACAAAAACACATTGAGCTTTGAACACAAGCACAAAAGATCAATCCTGTGTACTGTATAATTCCATTTATGTGAAGTGGAGAACTGGAAAAATGACCCTCTGGCCAAAACTTGGAGGTCAGAAGTCAGAACAGTGAAGACCTGGGGTGGGTGGGTTGAGAGGGGCACGAGGAAACTTCCTCGAGGGATGGAGACAGTCCCCATTTGAGTGGCTGTTATACAGTGTGCACAGATGCAAACTTTCACTGAACTGTACACTTCAGACCTATGTACTGCAGTGTACTTACATACCTCAACATTTTTGAAGAGAAAAACAGTACTTGGTAGACAGGAAACATGATTTAGCAAGTTTAGCAAATGAGCCAGGAGGTACCCCCTCATCCGCCCTTGTACCTCAAGTCCTGACCAGGAGCCCCAGGGACAAAAGCTAACCCCAGGTAAGGATCAGTCACGCCTGCGTGGGGCTCTCAAGGCAGCACACAGAGCACCAAGGACATGCTAAATCTCCCTATACTCTAACCCCTGGCCAGAGCCTGAGCCCCACCTCCCACCACCCAAGAGTCAATAGGCACTGAAGCAGCCCACACGCAGAGGAGGACAGGGACAGACACGCAAAACTGGCCCTTACACCTCTGGAGAGACTGGCGGGGTGGGGCTGACTGCCACCTTCTCCTCATTCTCCTCTGCCTCTTCCTGCCCAGGGCCCAGCTCCTCGGCCTGGGAATGCTGCTCCGTGCCCTTCTCGTGGGCAGCAGGTGGGCTTGGGGCCTGCTCCCTTGATAGCAGTAAGGAAACAACTGTGTTAAAGCCAGTAAGAAAGCAAGAGGCTTAAGACGCATGCCATTTGGGGTCAAAGAGCTATGATAGAGACAAGAGAGACAGCCCCAACAGTTTCCCTACCTCAGGTCTTAAACCTCCCTCTCCCCACCCTTCCTCTCCCTGAATTATCTGCATCAAAGACCAGAGACTCCTGCCTCACAACGGAAGCAGGATGGTTATGGTACCCCAGGAGCTCCGTACATAGCAGGTGTTCAGTGGATGCTGTTGATTGCACATCGATGCTGCTCAGGTTCCCTAGTGGTTCATTCCAACCCAATAAATTCTAAGACCAGCATGTTTCTCTTGCTAGGGGGACAGAGAACTAACAAATGTCCACCATGCTCTGGACTAGGCTAGGAAAAGAAGGTCCTCTCAGCTGGACTCCGAGTGATCTGGGCTTCCCTCTCTCTGGGCCGAGCACATAACAGGGCTCCAGCTGGGGCTGCTGAATGACTAGAAATAGGATGACTATTGGAAACAGGGGTGCTGGCAGGGAGGGGACTAGAGAAAGGGCTTCCTGGCAGGAATGGAGCAGCCAGGGTGACACCAGTCTCTGCTCCAGCCCCTTGCAGGTAGACACCTGGGACAAAAGAGACACCTCCTTATTCAAGAGTTTCTAAGTTCCTCTAATCAGACCACATACCCTCATTTCAGCTGCAGACTGAGGACTAGGAAGAGGCACATGTCCTCATATCCAGCTCCCATGGGACACTAAGCAGAGCCTCTGCTGCTGCTGCTGCTGCTGCTGAGGCTACAAACCCGCCCCAGCTCCCCACTCCCTCCCCAAGCCAACCCCAGCCCCATCTCTCTCAGCACTAGCACACATACCCACTACACGCAGAGCGGCCGCCACCTGGGGGTGCTTCCCCTCATCCTTACCTCTGGAGGGAGAGCTGCGGGCTGAGGCTGGCTGCAGAGTCCTCCCCAGTCTTCTCTGCCTCCTTCCACTCGGGCTGCCCCTCGGGGCCCTGGGGGGGCTCTTCTTCGGTGGCCAGGCTTCGAGGGGGACTCTGGGCCCGCTCCTCATGTGGAAGTGGAGGAGATAACCTGGTCAGGCCAGGCAGAGCAGCGGAGTCAGGTCCCTCCATTTGGAGAGCGGGAAGAGAACTGGGGAATACAGTGCGTGGACCTAGGTCATTGCCTCCTCCTGGGTTATGCTCCAGCCCCGTCCCCACATCCATCCATGGAGAGCCACAGCAGGGCAAGGCAGCCACACATGTGGGAAGGAGTGACTCCCTCCTGAGCCCCCCTTTTGCCTAGACTGGAGTCAGGCTCCACAGGGGTCCCTATGCTGCCTCTGCTTGGTTCAGGAATCAGAGCAGGACACACTCACAAGTGTGCCCATCCCCAGAGCTCCCCATCGCTGGGGCCAGGAAGGGGTGGAAGAACTAAGTGGGGAAAAAAAGAGAAGCCAGACTCAAGAGGTCAGACTAGAAAATGCACGAAGCTGTCATGGATAGGTTTTGAGGGTCTAAAAGTGAAATGACCATTCTCCTTCCCCTTCTAGGGTGGCAGCGCTTGTCATGGGGCTCAGGCCTGAGAAGCTGAGAGCCCCTGTCACATCACACACAGTTGCACACTCACAGATAGCTGCAGCCATTTCTGATGTGGCAGGGCCCTGGCTCAGAGCTCTGAGTTGCAGTACCAACCCTCCAATGTGACTCCTCCAGACCTCCACAAGGTTTCTTCAGCCCTGGCCCATAACAGGCACACACACAGCTTAATCAGCCCTGGCCCCACAATAGTGCCTGGAGTCCTGCCAAATGCACCCAGTGGCACTTCACATTCCCATCTTGGTGGAGAATCAGAGGGTCTGCTCATGCATGCAAACATATATACACATTGCCAGTACACACACGCGCACATACATATACACACGTATGTGCACACACAGACCCTGCAAGGCCATCCAGCCAGTTCATCACCTGCTGCCAAGCAAGTATACACTGAGCCAGGCCAGCCACCAAAGCCAAGAATTCTGCCCAAGTCCACACCACCCTGAAGGCACACCCCTGGGGATAGCCTCCCACCTATGGTACCTCTCCAAGCCTTTGGACTGCTTGCTCTGCAGCTCATCTTGGCTGGACTGGCTGTCATCCTTGTCTTCTATTCCCAGTGGTTGCTGGGCCTGTAGGAGAGAAGCAGTAAAGAGTCTGTGTTGAAGGGACTGCATTTGGGTCCCTCCAACCTCCTGCTGGCTCTCAAGCTTAGGAGAAAGCTTGAGAAGTTGCTCTCCAGAGGATGGGACCATACGGGACACAGAACAGAAGGTTCATCTACTGCACAGTGAGGCTTCCCCAAGCTTTGGCTAAGCCCCCAGGCTCACAGCTGCTCCCTGGGCTGGCCTTGAGGCCTGGGGAGGATGTGGCAGAAGACCACAGCCATGACACATAGAGCCAGGCGCCAGAGGCCGAAGCAGAACACACAAGAAAAAGAAAATCCTGCCTCCTGCTGCGGGAAGCCTGCACTGCAAGCTGCGCAGAGAAAGCAGAGAAATCCATGAGTACCCCAAATCCACAGAGGCCCAGATGAGCAGTGTGCCAGCGAATTACAAGGGTGCTGAAATTAAGGGCAGAATCGGGGGGCACAGGCAAGCACATGAGTAAGGATAAGTCCCGGAGAGATGGAGTACTGGTAGAATGAGAGAGAGAGAGCTGTGCCCGAGACAAAAAGGGCACCACCTGGCACCTGGAGGAAGACAAAGTGCTCCTTCGCTACCTTCAGGGACCCCCAAGCACCCAGGCCCCATCAGCGGACAATGATGCCCCCTTCCCAGTCAGCAATTACATCATCCATCAAAAACAAAACCAAACAGGACAACAATCTCATTTTAAAGCTTGGGTGACTAGTGACATTGAGCGAGTCAGTTAAAAAAAAGGAGGCAGGAAGAACTATTCTTTGAGGCAAGGTCTCACTCTGTCACCCAGCCTGGAGGGGAGAAATATTCCTGATCATTTCAAATATTTTCCACAGGGGGATAGTAGTGTAGTCAGCCTGGGGTCAACCCTTTGTTCTAGTCTTCCTGCCTGGGAAGTCTGTCTCCTCCACTGTATAAAACGGGATCGTATACTGCAACTCACAGGGCTTCTGGTGAGGATCAAAGCAGCTCGTATACGTAAGGCCCAACTCGCAACCCAAAGAAGGCACACCACCAATGTTAGCTCCTCTTCCCACATTCCTCTCCCTCTCCCCCAGCCTAAGGTGAAAAACAAAAAGAAAAGACTCTGCCAGTGCCAGTCCCCATCCTAGGACCTGCACTCCTTCTGTCACACCAACAGGAGCCCCGTCTGTTCTGGGACACAGGGTCAACAGGAGAGGTGGGGCGGGAGACAGCTCACTCTGTCTTCCCCAGTAGGGTCCCCAGCCCTGTGCCCACAGCCCCCACACCTCTCCACTGGCAGCCTAAGCCCCAGCAGCTGTGGCTAACCCTGCCATCTGGATGGGTGAGGAAGGGCAGGGCTTGAACTAAAACCCAGCTCCCCCAAATTACATTAAAAATAGAAATGCTGCCTGTGAGTGCCTCCTGGTGCCTGCAGCAGAAGGGCTCCCTGCCAGGGCTGCCACTCCTCATCACATCAGCATGGGCAGAGCCTGCAGACAACGGCAGGGCATGCAGCCTTTGCCGCCCCACCTTGTTCCCCTTCTAGCGTGCAACTCACAACTTGTCTCCCCCTACAGACCACACCATGCTCATCACGTATCTCCCTCTCCCACCCATCAAGAAGGAAAATCACACAGGCCCACTCCAGTTAACAAACTAAAATATAACACAAGTAATAAAGTAGGGTGATAGTAATAGGGGGACTGAGCCCTGAGTCAGAAAGGACTCCGGGGCTATCAGCCACACACCGTAAGAAAAAAGGGAGCGAATAGGAGGGCCGGCTGCAGACCATGGCCTTCCGGTCTCTCCCTTCTTGTTTCACCTATATTTCTGTGAGAAACTGAACCATCCCCACTAACAGAGAAAAGGGGATTCTCTGGGAAATACCCGGACAGACGGTCCTCTTGGTATAGAGGGTCCTCTTCCTTAACTTTTTTGCTCCAGAAAAGGAAGCCAAGGAACCAGATGAGGAAAGCAGCCAAGGTCACCATTCTTCAGAAAGGGGAGACAATCGCACATCCTAAGCCTCTGGCCTAAAATACCATTTCCCTCTCCTTAACTCGGCTCTAGGGTCTTGTTTTTGTTTAAGATTCAGTCCTCAGTTAAATAAACCATGGTGTATTCATACAGCAGAAGACTGTGCAGCCAACAAAAAGAATATGGTAGATCTATATGAAATAACTTAGAAATAAGTCAAGGGCCGGCCGGGCATGGTGGCTCACGCCTGTAATCCCAGCACTTGGGAGGCCGAGGTGGGCGGATCACGAGGTCAGGAGATCGAGACCATCCTGGCTAACATGGTGAAACCCTGTCTCTACTAAAAATACAAAAAAATTAGCCGGGCGTGGTGGCGGGCGCCTGTGATCCCAGCTACTCAGGAGGCTGAGGCAGGAGAATGGCGTGAACCTGGGAGGCAGAGCTTGCAGTGAGCCGAGATCACGCCCCTGCACTCCAGCCTGGGTGACAGAGTTAAGACTCCATCTCAAAAAAAAAAAAAAGAAAAAGGAAAAAAGAAATAAGTCAAGGGCCTATTCTCAAATTTAAAGAGCACATCGCCAAGCAGTTTAGGTAGCACAATCACAATTTTTATGGGAAGAAAAAAGATAAGCAAGCAGAAAATAAATATATGCTTATATGTACACAGAAAATTTTCTGGAAAGGCACATGAAAAATGTGAATAGAAACTATCCATAGTCCCTGTCTGTGTAAGGCTACAGGAAGTTGAGAACTTGGATCTTCCGTATTATTTGAAATAATTTTATAATCACTTTTCTAATTAATTATGAAATGTATTATGTCGGCAGGGCACAGTGGCTCACGCCTGTAATCCCAGCACTTTGGGAGGCCAAGGCGGGCGGATCACCTGAGGTCAAGAGTTTGAGACCAGCCTGGCCAACACAGTGAAACCTCATCTCTACTAAAAATACAAAAAAAAAGAAAAATTAGCTGGGCATGGTGGTGCGCACCTATAGTACCAGCTACTCGGGGAGACTGAGACAGGAGAATCACTTGAACTCAGGAGGCAGAGGCTGCAGTGAGCCAAAATTGTACCACTGCACTCCAGCCTAGGTGATAGAGGGAAACTCCACCTCAAAAAAAAAAAAAAAAAGAAATGTATTATGTCTAATTCATTATAATCGTTTTTTGTGGTGATGGTTGTGAAGGTATACAATATGGTAAAACGTATCAAATAAATGTGCAGTTTATTGTATGTCAATTATATCTCAATTAAATTGCATTGAAAATATTTTAAATGAACAAAAACTAGTATAGCTCAGCCCTCTGCCCTGGTCCTGCCCTTGAGAGAGAAGTGGAGAATATGGCAAAATGGGCAAGAACGCACAGGAAGGACAGAGGATGGCATCTACCGTTTTGTCCCATGCTGCTCTCTCCTCCAGCTCCCCCTCCCCAACTCGACCCCTCCACCCCAAGAGATGGTGGACAGCTGGAGGCTGAGCCTGCATAGACTTGGCTACTCAGTCAGCCACGCTGAGCACCATTACCCACATCACGACAGGCAGGTCACAAGGTATAGCTTAGGGGAAAGGTCCCCAACCCCTGGGCTGCAGAGCAGGGGGTGAACAGTGGGCAGGCAAGGAAACATTATCACCTGAGCTCCCCCTCCTGTCAGATCAGCGGTGGCACTGGGTTCTGACAGGAACATGAGCCTATCGTGATCTGTGCATGCCAGGGATCTAGGTTGCGCACTCCTCATGAGAATCTAATGCTCCTGACCCCATCTGTGGAAAAATCGTCTTCCAAGAAACTGGTCCCTGATGCCAAAAAGGTTGGGGACCGCTGACTTAGGGCTTCCTCTGCCAGGGATGGCCACCTCAAGAGGCTGCACCTCGTGAGAACCAAAACCACGTCAGGTCCTGATACTGCATTACAGCAAGTGGCACAGCCCAAAAAGAGGCTGCTGGCCACATCAGGTCTTAGGTAGACCCAGAAATCTGTCTTTTTCTCAAGCTCCCAAGTAATTCTGATACTGACCAGGTGTTGGACCCCAAGCAATGGGATCTACCTCCACCCCACTGACTCGGTAACCTTCCCACTCACCTACTGCCAAAGAAGCTCCACGATTCGCCCCCTCCAAACCTTTCCTGACTAATCCCACCTTCCTCTGCCTGTGCCTTCACATCTCTCTAGCACTGCAAACAGCATGACCAAGATCCAGCAAGGACCTGGTGGCTGGACAGTGGCCCAGAAAGGTTTTATCAGCCAGAGCTGAGAGGAACATGTGGGGCTCAAACGCAACTGGCCCGAAAACTCTAGCCTGCCTCTAGCACACATTTCACTAAAGGCTCCAAGGCTGGGTTCATATTAAACATTTTGTTTGTTTCACCCAACAAATTTCCATTTTGCCCAAACCAAATGTTCCCTTAAACTTGCAGAGATCATGTGCCAGAACTGCTCTTCTAACCAATCCACAAAGAAAAAGAAAAGTCTTCTTGGCTTGAAGCTCCTTAAAGACAGGATCTGTGTTTGAGTCATCTTTGTACCCCATGTGGGTCAGTCACCATCCATGCCCACACAGAGCTTACATCTGGCAGGGGAGACAGACAAACAACCATCAAACAAAACAAGAAGGACTAAGCGGAGCAAAGAGAGGGAACAATTTATCCCATTCGAGGAGGTGGTGTCAGAGGTGAACCTCCAGGACTGAAAAAGAGCTTGCTGGGAAAAACGGGAAAGCAGAGTGGCAGGCAGAGGGGTGGTGGAGGTGGAGAGTGTGCCCCAGGATGGTGAGCAGCAGACCCAGCTGGTGAGCAGCGGTGGGCTGGGCATGTAAAGAGGATGAATGGGCCAGGATGGGAAGTGCCTTGAAATCTACAGTCTACACAGCGCTTTGCACATGAGCAGACAGTCCACTCTTCAGCTGCTGAATGAGTGGATAAATGGATAAATATATGATGGAAAAGAGCTTTAATTTATAGCAACAATGCAGGAATGGTCAGAAGCCCCATGAAAGGCAGTCAGGACCATGCCTTAATGAATTAGAAGGGAGAGAACTTCCAGAAATGCAGCCTGTGATGGGCAGGGCTCAGTTCTGGGTCATCCGAAAAAGCGGTTGTGAGGAAAAATGAGGCCCCAGCTCAGCCCACCACCCAGAGAGACTCACCTGCCAACGAGTTCCATCCAGGGCCGGGGAAAGCACATCAATATCCAGCAGGTGCTCCGAGATCCGGCTGTGAAAACCGAAGTCCTGGAGAGAGTGGAGATGCAAAGGTCAGCTCTGCCTCTGTCACAGTCAACACCCACCAGGCCTCTTCACTACCCCAACTCCACTTTCCAGAAAGATGTCTGCTATGTGCCCAGCTCTGTGCCAAACATTTCAACATCACTAATTTCATCTTCAAAATAACACTGCGACTCGATGGAAAGATATGTGATCAAGCAAGTATGGTAAAATGTTAACTGTGGCCTATAGATGGTAAGTATGTGGGTATTCACTGTACAATTTTTAAAATTATTCCATATGTCTGAAACTTTTCATAATAAAATTATGGGGAAAAAATAACCCTGTGAGAATAAAACTCTTTCCCTCATCTCACAGATAAGGAAGCAGGTTGGAGAGCACATATAACTCGCCCAAGGCCACACAGCTGATAAGCAAGGGACCTGAGGGTCAGATGGGGCCCTGCACTGACGGCAAAGCCCAAGCTCTTTCCATGACACATGCTGTGAAGGATGTCACCTTCCGGCTATCTCTCCCTCTCCGTGGTGCCCAACCAGGCACAAGAAGAAATGCCAACATCCCCAGAAAACCTGTGGGCAGTTTTGAAACGAGCCTTGGTGGGCCCTTTCCAGCTCGTTCCATCCCTTTTCCATACAGGTGCCCACCTGGACAATGAGAGTTAATTAGTGGTGCTTCCTGCACTGGCTTCTCTTTGGGACAGGCGGCAAGTGCCCACACTGGTGCCAGTTTGTTGCTGTCCTCTGGCTGCCACAGGCCCATGATCCCACCTTCTCTGAGCCGAAGATCCCTGCTGGGCTAAGTGAAGGACTGCTGCCCAATAGCATGTTAATGGGGACAGTTCTGTCACATCAGCCCTGACTAATGGTGGGACGCCCAGACAAAATCTGGTCCTGCTGTCCACAGCCTCCTCCATCTCCTTCCAGAGAGAAGAAAAATGCTGATGGGCACATTTCTCCACATGGGTGACTGCTTTAGAAGAGCCAGCCCCCTTGCTTCCGAGAGATCTGTGACATGGCGATTCTTCACGGACAGTTTTTGCCAACAATGACTTTTTACCTTCCCTTTCTAGCTTGTGGGTTTTTCTTCTTTTTTGGTGACATTTTCCTTTCAGTTTGAGTTCTACTTCACTTAATGCAGCTGCCATCTGCCTCCTAAGCCCACGGCTCAGCGAGGGGCGAGCACACACAGCCTCCTAATTCTTCTGCACCCCCTCATATCATTACTGTTCATCCCTGACCCTCTCCCACTAATCCCTTCCCTTTGATCTGCCTCCTCCAAACAGATGGAGGATGGCTTCTAGAGGTAATGCTCTGCCAAAAAGCACCCTGAACTATTCCCCTTAGGTACAGACCTGGCAAATGAAACGATGATACAGCAGGCTGGGTAGGAGGTCTGGGACAAAGAAACCATGGATGCTGGCATTCCAAGACAAAGCCTTAACTTTAGAAATGAAGCCACGGCATCCCTCCTGGCCTGAGCCTAGGACTGTCCTCACCACAGCTCAGTGATCCCATAAACACAAACACACCAGTCTCTAACCTCCTAGGCTGATGGCAACTCACATGATCACACAGGCAACTCACACAACAGTGAGAGTAATAATAGCTAACATTTTAACATTATTTTATATATAATTACATTAATCATGTTTATATGCTAACATTTTATATTCTCTGCCTTTCTTCTCACAACAAACCTATAAAATAGGAAGTATTACCCTTAGTTAATGGGTTGAGAAGCTGGAGCTAGACAAGACTCAAGCATGAGTTTGAAATTCTCCCACTTACAAGCTGTGTGATGCTGGGCAAATTACTTAACCCTAGAGACTCACAAATCCATGCTCTTCGCCACCACTCTACTGCCCTCATCTCGAACTCACCAGGCCATGGAAGGACTTGGGGTCAGAAGTTATGGAGTCTGAGAGCTGAAGTTCCTTCATGTGTTCACTAATTTCCAGTTCCTGGAGAGAGAGAGACACAGAGAAATCCCTCAGAGCAGAGCACAAAGGGACATGGTCCCTACCCAGGGAATTCTGTTCAGGCTGTGGTACCAATATAGGGCTCAGGCCAAACTGAAATCCACCCTTCTTGAAAACCTAAAGGAGGCCTGTGGACCCCGCCATTCTCTCTGGACATGTGCACAGCCTCCGCCCCACTGGGGCTGGGCAGCCCACTGAGTAGAGACAACCACACTCTGAATTAGATCAGCAAGGACTTATACGAGTAAGGGGAACCAAGAGTAGTGGAGATGGTTAGAAAGGTGGCAGTACAGAAGTCTGATGCTATCCTAAAAAACAGAAGGAGAGGGCCGGGCGCGGTGGCTCAAGCCTGTAATCCCAGCACTTTGGGAGGCCGAGACGGGCGAATCACGAGGTCAGGAGATCAAGACCATCCTGGCTAACACGGTGAAACCCTGTCTCTACTAAAAAATACAAAAAACTAGCTGGGCGAGGTGGCGGGCGCCTGTAGTCCCAGCTACCGGGAGGCTGAGGCAGGAGAATGGCGTAAACTCGGGCAGGCGGAGCTTGCAGTGAGCTGAGATCCGGCCACTGCACTCCAGCCCGGGCGACAGAGCATGACTCCGTCTCAAAAAAAAAAAAAAACAAAAATAAATGAATTCCCTCACCATCTACCTGGAAGAGGAACAGGACTAAGGGTTGAAAAGCCTAAAATGCCAAAGGATCTCCCCATTCAAGCTTACTTCTGTCCATTTTGGTCATTGGCCTGGTCTTGCCAAAGCAACCACTCCCATGTGTTGGCATCTTTCAGAAAGAGCCACAAAAATGGATGAGAAGAGTCTTCTTGTCACCTAATCTACCTACGCTGGGGCAGAACACTGCCAAATGTGGCACCTACCGCCCCGATCACCCCCACCCTCCACCTCGCCACAACACACAGTGTTCTCTCTCTATAGAAACTCAGACTGCTGCAACCATGACTGCCCCCAAACTGATGTCAAGAAGTACAAGGGGAGGCCGGGCGCAGTGGCTCACTCCTGTAATTCCAGCACTTTAGGAGGCCGAGGCGGGTGGATCACCTGAGGTCAGGAGTTCGAGACCAGCCTGACCAACATGGAGAAACCCTGTCTCTACTAAAAACACAAAAAATTAGCCAGGTATGTTGGCAGTCACCTGTAATCCCAGCTACTCAGGAGGCTGAGGCAGGAGAATAGCTTGAACCCAGGAGACAGATGCTGCGGTGAGCTAATCATGCCATTGCACTCCAGCCTGGACAACAACAGTGAAACTCCGTCTCAAAAAAAAGAAGTACAAGGGGAGCCAGACTCTGGTTCACGCCAGTAATCCCAGCGGGTGGATCGAGGTTGAGCTCAGGAGTTCAAGATCAGCCTGGACAACATGGTGAAACCCCATCTCTACTAAAAAATACAAAAATTAGCCGGGTGTGGTGGTGCATGCCAGTGGTCTCAGCTACTCGGGAGACTGAGGCACAAGAATCGCTTGAACCTGGGAGGCAGAGGTTGCAGTGAGCCAAGATTGCACCACTGCATTCTAGCTAGGGTGAAGGAGCGAGACTCTATATCAAAAGAAAAAAAAAAAAAAACCTTGAACTATGATGAGGCGGGCAGATCACTTGAGCTCAGCAGTTAGAGACCAGCCTGGGCAACATGGCGAAATCCTGTCTCTACAAAAAATACCAAAATTAGCTGGGCATGGTGACACATGCCTGTGGTCTCAGCTACTCAAGAGGCTGAGGTAATGCCCTGCCAAAAAGCACCCTGAACTGTGATGAGGTGGGAGGATTGCTTGAGCCCTGGAGGTCAAGGCTGCAGTGAGCCAAGATCACGCCACTGCACTCCAGCCTGGGCTACAGAACAAGACCCTGTCTCAAAAAAGACAGAAGAAAAAAAAAAGTAAGGAGGGAGGTAGGAAGCAGGAAAGGAAGTAGGATAAAAGAAAATGAACATTCCAGGAGGGTGCCAATGGAAAAGCAAATTTCTGCTCTCAATTTCGAGTGCCAGCAGGTTTGCAGCTTCATTCCGGATTTTACTGCCTGCTGGGCCTGGGCATATTTGTCACAATTAAGGGCTCTGGCTGATGCTGACAGCCCAGTGCAGGGACACGCAAATGAAGCTCCTGACTCAGTAATAAAGATGTGGGGATAGGATCCTGCCCAGGGCTGAACAGAGTAGCAGAGGGCTACAGTCGACCCCTGCCTATGGGATACAGTGACTTACTTGGCTGGCATCTGAACTGCCCTCTTCTAGAGCAGAAGCCTTCTTCTTTGGCTCCTTGGCTGCCTCTTCCCTCCTGGAACCCTCCTCTCCTGCATCTACTGTGTCCTCTGGTGCCTCCTTTTCAGAGGCTTCGGCAGGGTCATTGCCCCTAGGGTCTGCCTTGGAGGTCACCAGATTCCTGGAAATCTTAGGTTCACTCTTCTCATTTTCCTCTTTTTCCGGGAGCCCAGGTCTTGCCCCACTTCCCTGTCGCCCTTTGCCATCAGCACTGCTCAGATTGCTGTCTGCACCTGGGCTGGACGGCTTGCAGGGAGCAGGGGGACTGGCAGCAGCTGAATCCAGAGAAACATCCTTCTCCTCTGGCTGGCTTGTTCTTAGAGACTCCTAGGGAGCAACAGACCATGTTAAAAAGGAAGACATAAGGAATGTGCAAAAGGAGCTGAGACATGCTGCAAGATGGAAATGCTATTCCCTGACTCCCACAGGCCAGTGCCTGAGTTCTGCCCCAGTGGTTATCAATCACACAGTTCTTACATTTTTTTTTTAATTTTTTTGAGATGAAGTCTCACTCTGTCACCCAGGCTGAGGTGCAGTGGTGCGATCTTGGCTAACTGCAACCTCTGCCTCCTGGGTTCAAGAAATTCTCGTCCCTCAGCCTCCCGAGTAGCTGGGACTACAGGTGTGTGCCATCACACCTGGCTATTTTTTTTATATTTTTAGTAGAGACGGTGTTTTGCCATGTTGGCCACGCTGGTCTCAAACTCCTGGCCTCAAGCAATCCACACACCTCAGCCTCCCAAAGTGCTGGGATTATAGGCGTGAGCCACCGCACCCAGCCCACCCAGGTTTTTAAAACACAGATTCCTGACTCAACCCCAGATCTACAGAATCGGAATTTCTATGGTAATTTGGATATACCCAAGCTGATCCCCATCCACTGGTGGGCCTGGAAGTCACTACACTGGATGATACAACTCTGTCACCACCTATCATATCCTCAAGTAATAAATCTGTCTTGCTCCAGCCCCATTAGCCACATCATAAGACTGCAGACTCAAAAGCCAATATTTATTTAAGATGATGATGGATCATCATGTGAGAGAAAGGCAGCAAAGTCTCAAATTTCTATTTTTCATGTTTAATAGGCAGCAGGGGAAAAATTATCAGGAGAGTGCTCTTCGTGCCTAAAGCCTCCCGGGTACATGCTGATAAGCAGCAGCCTCGGAGACAGCATCCTCACCGAGCACTGCCGACTGGGGTCCTCTGAGAAGCAGATGCCAAGTTAGGGTTAGATGTGCAAGAGATTTAAGGGAGATGTCTACAAAGGATAAAGGAAGTGAGCAGAGCTCCAGACTTTCTCCAGTTCTGGGAAAGTCTTGCTCAGCCCAGCAGAGTCGCCTAGTAGGCTGCCATGAGAACAGTCCCGTATCTGCAGAAATGGCTCTGCTTTCAGACCCCTGTTGTGGCTCATCACCAGCAGGAAACACTTCCATGAAGCAGGGTGGATAGAAAGGGCAGTGCTGGAGGCTGTCAATCTGCTAAGCTCCCTTTGGCAGGGTCTCTTGAAAGCAGATCTGAGCAATTCATCTGTACAGTGGCCACGCCCTGCTCCTCACATACAAACCTCACTTTAAAAACTAGTAAAAACCCAAGGCTGCTTCCACTAAATTCCTTAGAGTCGGTCAAAAGAGAAAAAGAAAACCCTCCCTTGGAAATACAGCCAGTGATCTCTGCTGGGTTTGGGCTGAGAAGTCTTCCTCCTGGAAAACATCTGTGCTAACACTTGGGCTGCCAGACTGAATAACTTCCAATGAGGGATTTTTAAGACTTCCTGATTCCCTATTCTGAAGACTCAAGGACCATGATGACTAGAGAGCGGAGAGGTCCAAGAAGAAGCCCTAAGCACGGCATTTATTGATGCTCTGTTCAAGTGTCTGCTGTGCCCAAAGAAATGACCCTCTCCCTGCAAGCCTGACAGCCCACTGACAAGCTAACCCAGGCTTCCTAGGGATGATTACACACGTCAGTAAAGCAGAGTCCTTCAGAGCTCAGCTCTGGAGACAGAGGCTGCCCAGGCTCAAATTTTGGCTCCACACTTACAGATGTGTGACCTTAGGCAAATTATTTACTTCTATGTGCCTCAGTTTCTTTTGCTAAAATACCAGGATGGAGCAGTGCTTACCTCATAGGGAGCACCGCTGGGAAGAGTAAATGAGTCAGCACTCATCAAGTGAGTTAAGAAACTCAGAATTGTGACTGGCACACTGTCAGTGTCCCACGAATGTTAACTTACGTTATGTAATGAGACTTACACATTCATTCACTGAGCACATTCTATGTGTCAAACACTGCCTTGGGAATCCAAATATGGCCAAACTATGGATCCTGCCCTCAAGGAATTGAGCTAATATTGAGAAAAGTGAAATGTTCCCAATGGCTTTGGTTATGAGCCTTGACTGCCCAAAGCAAAGAGGCCACTAGACACAGTGGTGATACTGTCATTAGGCCAACCCTGTCCTAGAAAGAAGAGTGGAAGGGGAAGTAGAGAAGGTACAAAGGAAGCTCACGCCTTGGCAGCATGCATGTGGGTACCCGCCAGTGCTGCCCCTCTCAGCATCCCTAACCTCCAGTATGGAATAAATCTGCCAGGACCACTGGGCTAAGAGAAGGGAGACACACTTCTCCTCTTCAAGTGAAGCAGCTTCAGGCTGAGCCTAATGGCCTTCTCATCTCTATACCACCAAAGGCCCATACTCAGCAGAAGCTCATATCCAGTCTGTGGGGTTCTAAGGCCTCCAAGAAGGAGGTGGGAGTTGCCTGGGGTGGGCAAAGGGTGTTGTGCCAACCACACCCCCTTACTCGGCAAGCAGGGCCAATCCACCCTGGCCAGGCTCATCCCAAGATTAAAGAAAGGCTCCCACTGGCTTGAAGTTGGGAGTGAAACCTGGTCCTAAGAGGGCTGCCTACCAATACACCTTGGATGCGAGGGCAAAGGAGGTATCAGACCATAAATAGTCCCTATGGCCTTCAGGATAAAATTTAAACTCCTACTTCGCCCACAGCCCTTAAGGCCCAGCTCCTGCCTGCCTCTCATGGCTCACCTCCAGCCAAACCCTCAGACACTCTCTCCTCCCACCTGTGGATAAACATCACAATAATTTAGTAATTTGCCATGCAATTCCTAAAATACACATACACACACATTACCTGACACACTCCCCACTGGTCCTCACCACATCACCTCTTCCAGGATGCCTGCCTTGATCCCTAGGTCAGCTGACCTGAGATGAGCCTTCCCCATCATCTACTTTAATAGCTATTGTATTTGCTGATTTCTTTATCTGTTTCCCTCACCAAATTAGCTCCCTATTGTCCTCAGTACTTAGTTTCTAGCACATAATAAGTGCTTAGCAAAGGCTTGTTGACCAAATTGTTAAATATGAATAAGCGTGTCATGCAAAGATAGCAGTTGAGGTTTCCCTTCCTAGCCTGCAAAAAGGAGATGTAATATTTACTTTACATGGTTATACAGGGATTCGACTATATTTATTACAGTGCTAATTAAATGAAAAATAGCTAAGCAAATGTTAGCTATTAATTAACCATTCAAGATGACGGAAAAACAAGTAACCTATCAAAAATCAGAGAATACAAGACACAGGTAGAGATTCCCATCCTTGAGAGGATCAGGAAAAATAACTAACAGGTACCAGGCTTAATGCCTGGGGGATGAAATAATCTGTACAACAAACCCCCATGACACAAGTTTACCTAGATAGCAGACCTGCCTGTGCACCCATGAACTTAATATAAAAATTTAAAAGAGAGAGAGTCCCATTCTTACACATGAGAGAATATAGCCAGATTGCAATAATCTTAGGCCCAGCTCAATTCGTACGCTTAAGTTCTTCAAAAGAAAATTTTCACATGATGGGGCTCATTCTAGTCTGCCTTACCTAAAACAGTAAAACACGGGTAATATTAAAATAAACAACCTTGCATTCTCTGCACCATGTTGACTAACTGCAACCACAGGACAGCACCTCGAGGGTGGGGAAAGCAGAGGGAGGTGAAGCATTTGATGTAGATTATCCACAAATGGATGTACATGAGCTGAGTGTCTGGAGAAGCTATCCAACTCCATGAGCATCTCCCTTCACCTGGCCCCTGCCCCTTGTCTCCTGGCCCAAGGCCTAAAGCTCCAACCAGGTATACACTCTGGGCACCGAAGTCCAGTCTCCCGCCCTGGTTCTGTGGGAAGTGCAGGAAAACGTGGGACCTCAGTCTCAGCACAACTTTGCCCTCAGCTCATCCCTGCTCACACTCCTTCTGTCTCCTCCTTTCACAGCTCCAGGTCCTTGAGTATTTCAAGGCACATTTCTGCTGCTTTTTCAAAAAAGACTTTCCCATCTGCAGGAGGAGAGAGCAGGAAAGAGCTTATAAGAATCATTTCATGAATATTTAACATACCCCCCAAAAGCCCTGAGGTTCTTCTGCCCAGAGGACAAAGACAAGGACCCCTATAATCCACACAGCACAGGGGACAGGGCATGAAGGCCAAGAAGACATGCACCCATGTCTGTGCATTGACCCTGTTCTGCAGAGACCCCCACCAAGCTGATCATCAGTCCAATTTATTTTTCAGATTTCATTCCTGCCCAGTTGGTCTCAATTCTTTGCACAGCTCCCTGGTGTTGTTAGCACTTTCCAATCGCACTGACATCATCCTGTTATTTCTAAGCCCAGGCTCCCTCCTGCTACTTTGATCCACTGATGGGCTTTTCACCAGCACCACATGGCCACATAAAGTCTGCTTCAGCCTCCTGGCTTTTGCTCGCCCTGTTCAGTGTCGGTTCCATGAACCTCTCTCTCTTCAGTCTGTAATAGACTTGAAGTGCGTTTAAGTTGGAAAGCAGGAGAGCAGGGAGGAGACAAGAAGAGATGCATTCTTGCCATCCTACTGCCCTCTCATGGAATCATGAGCAAAGTGACTGCTCAGTGAGACAGGATAGAACTAGCCTCAGAAGTCCATCTCCATCCTAGGCTGTATGGGACACTCAGGAGTGGGGAAAGGTAGGCAGTTCACAGAATCCAAAGACTGTAAACTGAGACAAAAGCCATTTTCAAAGAGCAGGGCCCAAGCAGAGGCAGCATTGGCTGTCCTGAAACCCCCCCATTCACCCTCATCACTAACACTCCCAACAGGAAAAGCCCTGATTCCTGCCTTCAGTTAGAACATAGGAATCCAACACTCCATGTGACAAAAAGAACTAAATCTGCGGGGATGCTAAAGACAGGGGTAGGAGGTGTATTTAACACCACCCACTCCAGACATTTCCCCTCATCACACTGGGGTGCCTATTTATATTAAAGAGGTTATAAAATGTTTAAAAGTCCCCACTCTCCCCAGAGAAGCACATAGTCATCAGAAGGAAAGCTTTTAGAAATCCACCTTTCAGGTCGGGCACGGTGGCTCACGCCTGTAATCCCAGCACTTTGGGAAGCCATGGCGGGCGGATCACCTGAGGTCAGGAGTTTGAGACCGGCCTGGCCAACATGGTGAAACCCCGTCTCTTCTAAAAATACAAAAATTAGCCAGGCATGGTGGCGGGTGCCTGTAATCCCAGCTACTCGGGAGGCTGAGGCAGGAGAATCGCTTGAGCCCAGAAGGCAGAGGCTGCAGTGAGCCAAGATCACGACATTGCACTCCAGCCTGGGGGACAAGAGCGAGACTTCAACTCAAAAAAAAAAAAAATCCGCCTTTCAAAGAAGAAAAAGCCTTTTTTGTTGACATTTACAATCCATTATGAAGTAAATGTTAATAAGCCCAAGGTCAAAGTAAATCATAATCAATCCACATCAGGATCTTCAATCCGCCAGCTGACAGCAGGGACCAAGTACCCACTCTATCCGGTAACTGGGAAAGCCAAGTGAAGAAAAAAATACGACACAACCTGCCCGGACACTCTCTCATGAGTCCCAGCGTGGCTCATTCACTCATTCACAAATTCATTCTCTCAACTGTTGACCAAAACATACCTAAGCACTTCCTATGTTTCAGAGGCAGTGGGCTAGGTGCTGCCTGGCCATACAGAAATGAATAGGGCAGAATCTCCAACCTCAACTTGCTCATTCTCATAGAGATTGTCTTCTTCCTCCAAAAGCAAGTAAGTCCTCTGACACCCCTGGTCCTATACATGGTCAACCTTCTAGGCACAAAGCCTGAGCATCTCCTTTGATCAACAGAGGTCTTACTGGTGGTGGAGAAGAAAATAAAGTTGTCATTTCAGGGAACTAAACAGATTGAAGGCTTTAGATTTAATCCTTCCAGACTAGGCCCCACTCAGAAGGAACAGTTTCAAAGCAGACCTGTATCAGCTTGATAATAAAAATGGGACACTTAGAAAAAAGTGTCACATTTGGCAAGAAACTGTAAAGTCATAATCGAAAGGTATCTGACTGTGCAGAGCCAAAATGCTGAACAGTTTCTGAGGTAACAGGCAAAGTTTAACTACAAAAAGAGTCCTAGGCTGGGCACAGTGGCTTACACTCGCAATCCCAGCACTTTGGGAGCCCAAGACAGGTGGATCACTTAAGCCCAGGAGTTGGAGACCAGTCTGGGAAACATAGCAAAACCCCATCTCTACAAAAAATAGCCGGGTGTGGTGGCGGGCACCTGTGGTCCCAACTACTTGGGAGGCTGATATGCACTCCAGCCTGGGCAACAGAGTGATATCCAGTCTTAAAAAAAAAGCCCTCTCCAATGGCTAGACTTGGGTCACCCACAACTCAGGTCTCAAGTACCAAATCAAGGGCTATCAGCCAGCACATCTGAAACCTCAAGTGACCTGAGACACTAATCCTGGCTCTTAAGGTAAGATGATTTCCAAGAAACAAGTCAGAAATAATAAGGGATAATGAGAAAACAAATTTAAATTCAGGATATAAGCACTTCTGTTTTACTGGCCAGTTTTGTGATCATTCTAATAAAGTGTGAATGACTTGTTTGATGTTAAAGTATTGAAAGTATTTAAAAGAACTTGATATATTAGACTTGTGAAAAGTTTAACTGATTGAGCCTGCAACCAATATTTAAATATTTGGGGAAATCTAATTGTTGAGTTCATGATTCTTTGGTTGTTTAAATACTTTAAGAATATTTAGGCTGGGCATGGTGGCTCAAGCCTGTAATCCCAGCACTTTGGGAG